CCAAAAAGAAAATCTATGAGAGAAACACTTTCAGAAGTTGATAGGTAGACACAGCCACAATTTAAAATGAACTATAATTAGTTCCTTTTTCCCTAAAAGAAACTGTATTGATAGAAGGTGAAGGCCTAAGATATTTGAAACCTAAGTCTTCTCATATAAGATCCCTGGCTAGAAAAGTTAAGATTATAGGAACCTTAAATAAATACTGCTAAGTGAAAGAAGCCAGGGTGCAAATATGTAAAACATGACTCCAACTATATGATATTATCGAAAAGGCAAACCTATAAATACAGTAAAAAGATGAGTGGCTGTCAGAAGTTGTGGGCATGGGGGAGTGAAGAGGGGTGAATAAGTGGAGCAGAGAGGATTTTTAGGGCAGTGAAACTATTCTGTATGGTATTATAACAGTGAATACATGATTTTATGCATTTGACAAAACTCACAGAACTGTACAACACAAAGTATGAACTCTAATGTAAATTGTAAATTTTAGTTAATACTAATGTATCAATTTTGGTTCAACAATTATAGCATATATACCACAGCAACACAAAATGTTACAGGGAAACTGGGGAGGGGGAGTGGGTAGTAGTATACAAAAACTCTGTACTTTCTATTTAATTTTTCTGTAAATCTAAAACTATTTTAAGAAATAAGTCTATTAATTTTTTTAAGTTAGTATTATAAAAATGTTAATGGTTATAAAACTATACTCTCATTTCTTAACAAGAGTTTTAATCTAGCATGAGAGTGTTATATCTCTTCAGATAAACACATGTTCAGCTGCATACAACTTTATAACATTGTATATTTGTGAATCGTAGGTGCTATTACACTTTCTATGTATACAGCACCTTCAAAAGTATTCCTAGATGCAAGTCCAACTTTGTGGCATTCTAATCAAAATATGTTCACTTAAAGAAATTTCTTTCCTGTCAAAAAAGTTTTAATTATTAAATAACAGTTTAAAAAATATATGTGATTTAAGTCTGTTTTAGAGAAATAAATCAGTATGTACACAGAATTATACATTGAGCTAATTTCTATACCACTCTGCAACATGCAAATTAAAATTTTCTATCCATAAGTTTGTCAATCCCAAAATAGGAGGAGATTTAGATGTGTAGAGAAATTTTGTGAAAGTATATAAAATGTTTGAGCAAAATGCTACTAAATTGATTAGAAAATGAAGTAGCAGCTGGAAGACTCTGATCCACCCAGCAGGCTATGAAAGAACCCTTTGTTCTGCCCCATTACAATAAGCTGCCTCTAAATTTTGGTTATTCACACGAAGTCCATATGTCCTATAGCAAGTTGTCCTACTCATAAAGGTACTTGATGGCTGATAATGACAATAACAGTAATGCTGAGGGTAATCATTCCAAGTGTAGCATTTAGAATAGTGGTAGATTTGTGTGGTATTGTTTTGTGAAACAAACTTTAAAAGACACAAAATATAATTTTATAAAACACTGATTTTTGCCTATAGGTGAAAGTACATAAAAATTTCATAAAGTTTTGCTGAAAATCAGCGTTATCAAGAATAAACAATAAGGGGCTTCCCTAGTGACGCAGTGGTTAAGAATCCGCCTGCCAATGCAGGGGATGCAGGTTCGAGTCCTGGTCCGGGAAGATCCCACATTCTCCGGAGCAACTAAGCCGTGCGCCACCACTACTGAGCCGCGTGCCACAACTACTGAAGCCCACGTGCCTAGAGCCCGTGCTCCACAACAAGAGAAGCCACCGCAATGAGAAGCCCGCACACCGCAACAGAGTAGCCCCCACTCGCTGCTACTAGAGAAAGCCCGGACGCAGCAACGAAGACCCAATGTAGCCAAAAATAAATAAATAAATAAATTTTAAAAAAGTGTGTAAATTAATTTAAGTAGGTGTTGTTTGTTTTAAAAGGCATTTATACAAGCCTTGTGAGGAAAAAGTTGGGTTCTGCTTTGAAGCTGGCCTAAATTCTGAGGGAGACAGAGTAAGCAAGAAACAGCCAAAGACAAAAATGTCAAAAAGCCCCACTGGATTTAGCTATATTCTCTTCTGCAAACTAAAAAGGCTACAAACTTAGTAGATTTATCAATAAAAATACAAAGCCAAGCATAAAAAATCATGAAATAAATGCTATATTAATATTCAGCATGTAATCAATAAACGTTTTTGAATACAAGACACTGATAAAGTGCTCTAGAGACTAAAAAGAAGTTCCTAATATGATGCCTATGCACAAGCTTAGATAGGTGAAGAGATAAATAGTATGACAGGTGTAATAAATGTTTTATGAGTGAATTTTTAAAGAAAGCACTAATGTTATTTATGGTTCATAGTAATTATAACACATTCAAATAGTTGGAGAAAGCATTATAGAGATTGTAATGTGAGGCTGGATAAGATTTAAATAGGTAAGAGAGGAAAGCACTTTAAGAGTGGAAAGAGCATTAGTAAAATGGGAAAATATTAGCTGGAGAAAGTGAAGCATTAACAGACTAGTTTAGTTATAGGGAAGCTGTGGGGTGATCACCCAGAAAGTTACATTAGGTCAAGTCACATTATAAAAAGAATGGAAAAGGATGAATAGGTCAGAGAACTCCTTAGGAAAAGAAAGCAGCAGGATTTGATAGCACGAAATAAATGTCAGGTAGAAGAGTGAATGATGACTGATAGGATTTCGGATATGAGTTGAAGTTATTGACCTGTAGCAATGTGGAAATTAGAGCAGTATCTGATAGCAGTTAGGCACCTTGGCCCTGAAGCACGCTGCCTGGGTTTAAATTCTAATTTTTCAGTTAATACTTTTTGAACTTAGACCAGTTATTTAAACTTACAATGTAAAACAGAGATAGAAATCTGTGAGGTTATTTAAGGATTAAATGATTTAATATATGTAAAGATTTAGAATAGCTCCTGACTCATCGCATACATCTAATGGATATTAGGTTTCTTTATTATTGTTATACAATTGAAATTAGAATTTGAGAAAGATAAAATTTGGCACCTAAACCATAAATTTGGTATGGTAAATGATCCCATCAAATTGAGGAAATTTCTAAGGAACACAATACAGAAGTAAAAAGCAAAAGTCTATGGGCTAAACTTTGGAGTTTGCTTCTATCTAAAAATCAGAGAGTTAAAAAAAAATAGTATGGTCAGGAAAATAAAAGGTAGTGTATTATCACAAAGCAAAGGTATCATAGGTGCTAGGCAGCTAGCAATGCAAAGAAATAAGAGAAAAGGCACTCTGAAAAATGGCCAAAGTCTTCAGTGACTCTTAAGAGTGTTTTTTCTAGTGAAGGAGGCAGGGAAGGACAAAGAGAAATAAAGACTCTGAGAAGAGAAGGAATATGTATATATATATATATATACATGGAAGATTACAAAATAACTGAGTAGGAATTGGAGCTACTGAATGTAGAGCAATGACATAAGGGAAAGAAAAGGCAACGGCAATTAGCCAGGCAGCAGAATCAATCACAAAGATTTCTTAAGAAGAAGGAGACATACGGATTATGTAATTATGTCAATAAAATTATGTTTATTGAAATATAAATATTATGTTAAATTGGTATTAAGACTATTTTTAAAAGTTAAGTCAGAATTACTATAGTTGCTTTAAAAATGGTTATTTTAGTCAAAATGTCAGATACACTAAACCCATTTGACTTTTCATATTTCAGTTTCTTTAGCATTAAGTTTTTTCTCCTCTTAATCTCAAATTTTTAACATGCTGAAATACATACATTATTGAATTTATTAAGTATTCTGTAAAAAAAGTATAGTTACAGAACAGATAACAACTAAAAATACTTTATGTGCTTATTAATAATAAAAAGTTATTGTTTCATAGAAATATGTAGGGGCAAGGAACTGTTAACAGTTGTTTCCTCCATCAAGAAAAATCGGATCGCTGAGTGTCAAAAAGTAAGAGAAGGACTTATATTCACTGTTTCTTTTTTTTCTTTATCCTTTGCATTTTGTACCATGTCTAGATATTAACATTTCAAAAACAAATAAAATTTAAAAGACTATTTGAAGGAAAACATAAAAGTAAAAAGGCAAAAATAAATAAAAACTTGTTCTAATAGCTTTTTTTTTTTACTAATGCAAAGGGAATACGTACTTAGACAATTTAAATGTATTAAACTGATTTTATAAAAAATTTAAATGGGATAAGAGATAGGACATTGAATTTTGAGAAGTATTTTTATAATTGTTTTCAAAATTATTTAGAAATTATATATGCTTTTACTTTGTTCTACCTTATTTTTATCTTCATAAAAAAAAGAGGAAGACATTTAACATTCTGACAAGCTAAGCAGCCGAATTTCTGAAGAAAGATACACAGTAAGCGATCTAGATTCAAGCTTTGTTTTGACGTCTTTGGCTCAAGAAGAAAATGCAACAAAGTATAGCAAAGAAGAGGGAAGAGAACTTTAAATGCCAGGACTCGCAGAACTATGTGCCTCAAGAAGAAAAGTTTAATCAAAGTGATACATTTAAGACAAAACTATTCTTGTTCACTTTGTTGATTCTTGCATTCAGCTAACACTTATTGAATACTTATTGTGTCAAGCCAGTTCCTAGGCACTGGAAACACAGTGACAAATAAGAAAAACTTTTGCCCTCCCAGAGTTTAAAATTTAGTGAAAAAGGCTGACAATAAACAAGATAAATAAGTAAAATACATAGTCTATTAATGGCAAAGTATTAAGGAGGAAAAAATAAAAGCACGGAAGGGGCATATGAATGTTAACAGAAAGAAAAAGCTACACTGAGAAAGTGACATTTGAATAAAGTTCTAAGGAAGCGGGTGCCAGCAAGCTATACAGATATTTTAGCAACAAGCATTCCAGGAAAAGAAAGCAAGTGAAGAAGCTCTGAGGCAGGGACATTCCTAATGTATCCAACAAACAAGGTCAGTGTGGTTTCAGTAGAATGAAGAAGGGGAAAATATAGTAGAGAGGAGTTTAGGGAATTGAGAGCGTCAAATCATCACATACCCTTGTACATGAAAGTAAGAATTTCGGCGTTTTCTCAGAGTCAGTCAGAAAACCTTTGGAAAGTTTTGAGCAGAGTTGTGATGTGCTATGACATATCTTAAAGAATCATTCTGGCTAATGTGTTCAGAATAGATTGAAGGGGAGCAAGTACTAAAAGCAAGGAGACCAACTGGGACTCTACTGCAATCATCCTGGCAAGAAAAGCTAAAGCCAACAGGATTTGGCAGTGGGCCAGCTGTGCGTAGTGAGAAAAAAATGTCAAAAATGACTCCAAGATCTCTAACCTGAGTAACTGAAAGAATGAAGTTACCACTCACTGAAATGAGAATGCCTGTGGGAGGAGGGGTTTGCAGGGAAATATCAGGAGCTCAGTTCAGGACATGTTAGGTTTGAGATGCCTATTAGACCTCACAGTAGAGATGTTGAGTAAACAGTTATGAGTGAAGTTAAGGGAAGAGGTCCTCAAGGCTTCTTCTTTTTTTTTTTTTTTGATTTTATTTATTTATTTATTTATTTATTATTTTTGGCTGCATTGGGTCTTCATTGCTTTCTGTACTTGCAGAGAGCGGGGGCTACTCTTCGTTGAGGTGTGCAGGCTTCTCATTGCGGTGGCTTCTCCTGTTGTGGAGCACAGGCTCTAGGAGCACAGGCTTCAGTAGTTGTGGCTCGTGGGCTCTAGAGCGTAGGCTCAGTAGTTGTGGTGCATGGGCTCAGTTGCTCTGCGGCATGTGGGATCTTCCCAGACCAGGGTTTGAACCCGTGTCCCCTGCATTGGCAGGCAGATCCTTAACCACTGCGCCACCAGGGAAGCCCAAGGCTTCTTCTTTTTTTTTCTTTTTTAAATTACGTGTGCTCAAAATTATAAAATTTATTAAATTACAGAAACATCATTGTAGAGACTTTTAGATTATGAGTTTATTCTTTTGCCCGTACCCCGGATAGGTAAAATAGTTTAATGACTATTTCTTCTCAGTTTGCTGTTATAGCATGTGCCCGTGCTTAAAAACAAAAACAACAGCAACAAAAACATGAAATGGGAATATGTGAAGGATAGCTTCAGTGATATATTTTACAACTATATGGAAAAAATATAATTTAGAACCCTTCTGGTATCTTTATATCCTAGTCCCCATAGCGCAAAGGATAATTTTTAGTAGTATAAATTCTGTCACAAACTACTGTATGTCTATGTAAATATGTATCATGTCTCTGTTATTAGAAAATTTTCCCAAACTGATGGCTGACTCTACAAATATCCTTTCACGTGGCCATTTAGATGGAACTAAAGGTCAACTTTACTACATATTTTGTTTTCTATTTTGATTAACTAAATAATGTTAAATGGATGACATTAACTTGGAAGTTTGCATACTTAAGGCACTGACTATCAACATAACTTTTTCAAGTTGATTTAATGGAAGGCTCTGCTTCTCTTCTCACGCTCACTGTTAATGCATCCAAAAGCTTGTTACTTTAAACTGAAGTAACACAGAGATTTATTCTAAGGTTGAATAAAAGCAAGTATTTTTTGAAGTGGCTTTCATCCTTTGAATATTTTTCTTCTGATCTGAAAGCATTCAACTTTTACATTTTAAGAACAAACATAAAAAGAACAATGTGGAGAGAGGGTGGATTTCAATTTTAAATGTCTTCTACCATAGCCCTCAATGCAGACTCTTCAAACCTGGCTATGAAGACAAAAGCAAAAGAGCCAAAATGCTACTTCCCTCCTATCCTCCAACTTTCTAATTCCAGAGACAAAAATTCACAGAACTAGGGAGAAGAGGGAAGGTGGGGCCTGTTTCTGTGTGCATATGTGTGTTTGGGTAGGTGGTACTGGGGGAAGGTGTACTTGAGTAATGACACTAGCATGAGCAAATTTTCCATTTGAGGAGGTGTAATCTTCAACAAAATTTTAATGAGAAAAGCTCTACAAATCAAAGTAGTAGTGGGGTAGTGGCATGGAAAACCACTGCAGCAGTATGTGCTAGGAATTTAAACTTATCACGTAGTTCAGAGTGTGAAAGAACCAATAGTGATTGTAAATTTATATACTATTTATTAGAGAAAGAATGAAAGCATATATAAAACCTCCTAAAATTAGGAATAAGACTGGAAGCACAAAAACTTGCCCTAGAGAAACTTATATGAGAACAAAATTCAGTATTCACACACAGCAACAAGGAATAGGGAAAAGGACAAACCTTGGTTTGTGAAGACAAACCTTGATTGTGATGAGATCTGCCTTGTATAAAGATAAAAGAAAAATCCAACATGGGACTTATAATAATAATAAAAAGAAGGAAAAGGAAGATGAGGACCCATGTAGAAAAAAAGTTAAAGGAATATTTTCATCAGACTCAAAGGAATAGGCATACTCCTAAAGATAACCTAATTCAGGATACAGGAAAAAACTTAAAGAACAAGTCAAACATTCTAAATAGTTATTAATTATTGAGTATTTCCTATGTATCAGTATATTGTTATTCATTACTGAGGAGTTCTATCAGAGCTGTTATAAATATATCACATGTATTAGCTCATTTAATCATCACAATGATCCCATGAGATATTATTATCTCCTTTTTAGATATAAAGACTTTCCCAAGATCATAAAGCTATTAAGAATTCAAAAAGGGCTTCCCTGGTGGCGCAGTGGTTGAGAATCTGCCTGCTAATGCAGGGGACACGGGTTCGAGCCCTGGTCTGGGAAGATCCCACATGCCGCGGAGCAACTAGGCCCTTGAGCCACAACTACTGAGCCTGCGCATCTGGAGCTTGTGCTCCGCAACAAGAGAGGCCACGATAGTGAGAGGCCCGCGCACCGCCATGAAGAGTCGCCCCCGCTTGCCGCAACTGGAGAAAGCCCTCGCACAGAAACGAAGACCCAACACAGCCAAAAATAAATAAATAAATAAATAAGAATTAGAAATTCATTTAAAAAGTACATTAATATTAAAAAAAGAATTCAAAAAGACATAGCTATTATGAGCAGGTATAGAACTTTATTCATTCGTATACTCAAATAATATTTTATGGGTACTTACAAGGGGCAGGTAGTATTCTAGGCACTTGGGATATATTAGTGGGGGGAGGGGAAAGAAACCTGTCTTCAAGAAGCTTGTATTCCAGCAAGATATAAATTATATAGTGTGTGAGAAGGTGATGAGTTCTGGGGGGGAAAACCAGAAATTAGAGCAGGATATTGAAGTTAGAAAGTACCTGGTGAGGGATCAAAATTAATGTATAGAGCTGAGTTTGAAATGGTTTTTAATGTATCTGAGAACCTTGGCTTGTAATACGATAATTTAATCCAGTCATATTTATTTTGTGAAGTGATGTCAGTCTTCCTTCTGTCATTGTATGCTTTTTGATTTTTATCTTTTCTTGATGCTTCCCTTTTTCCTTACTTTTTGCTAAGTAGCCCACTTTATTGTTATTTCTCTGCCAAGTGTTTTGAAAAGTATTACTCTACTAATGGTTACCTTTAAATTATGTATATCATTTATTTCTTCTATGTACAGAAACTAAGCTCCACAAGGCCAGTCTTATACATGTCTTCTTACGTATTCTATTACTGAGCCTAATACAGTAGCAGGAGTATCAAAATATTTTTGTTTTATGAATAAACAAGTTAATAGTAGGTATTAACTACATGATCATAATTCTGCTCTGGGGCCAAAGAGAGACTCTGGAGGGAGAAACTAAAACTAGAAAGTGAATACAAAGAAAGGTGAAAAAATTGCTACAGAAGAGAGTGCCTCTATCCCAATCCTGACTAAGTGATCTTGAAAAACGTACCCACCCTCTTTTCACTTCTGTTTTTTTTTCACTTTAAAAATAGGGAGAGTGGATTTGAACAGTGGTTCGTTACCTTTTTGTGAGTCATAGATCCTCTTGAGAAATCAATAAACACTAGCAATGTTCTCCACAGAAGCTTTATATACATAAACTTATGTCAACATAAGTTGACATATTTTATAAGATTATGAAAAGCCTTTAATGTGAACATTGTTTTTTTATTATTTTTTATTTTTTATTTTTTGCGGTACGCGGACCTCTCACTGCTGTGGCCTCTCCCGTTGCGGAGCACAGGCTCCGGACGCGCAGGCTCAGCGGCCACAGCTCACGGGCCCAGCTGCTCTGCGGCATGTGGGATCTTCCCGGACCGGGGCCTGAACCCATGTCCCCTGCATCGGCAGGCGGACTCTCAACCACTGCGCCACCAGGGAAGTCCCGAACATTGTTTTTTTAATGTGAATATTGTTAATGCAATATGAAACACTAAAGAAATATTTTATAACATTTAAAGGTAGATAAACACATCAGATACACACATACAAAACCCTCTCCATATTTTATAATAAAGAAAGCCCAAAACTCCTAAGCTAGAAGGAAGCATTTATCCAAAGAAAGAAACAGAAGATTTATAGATGTGAAATGTTTTGAAGTATTAAAGTCCAATACCTTCTTCTAAGTTCTTGTCACATATTTATTGCAGATAGGGATGAAGTTGTTTAAGCTTAGCTTTTCTTGACAAACCAATTCTGATTGGTCGACTGCATGTCTTAAGAGGTAGTAGTCTTGAAATTCCATATGAAAAGTTACCACCTAAAAGTATAAGACAATAAAAGTACATAAGGGAGTAAAAATCAGTCATAGTTTCTATGCTTAAAAATTTTTACTAACTTCTAATCATGATACTAGCAACATTTACTGAGTCACTGAGCTAAGTGCTTTGAATGCATTACTTAAATTACTCCAATCTCCATTTTTTAAAAGTGGAAAACTCAGCACAAAAAATTTAAGTAACTTGCCAAACATACAATAAAATAGCAGCTAAATAAAATCAGCGTTCCAGTCAGGAAATCTGACCTAACAACAACAACAAAAACTATATAGGTTTTAAAGTTAACTTGATGTAGTGGTTGTAAAGACCACGTTGTTTTTCTATTAGAAGTTACTAGACTATACTGTTAATAATTACATTTGGCTTCTAATAGAGATTATTATCAATAATAGAGCACAAAT